GGACTACAGAATGCTTTGGGGTCTGAAATTCGGTTAAGTACAGCATATCATTCGCAAACAGTTGGGCAAAGTGAGAGAACTATACAGACTCTCGAAGATATGTTGAGAAGCTGTATTATTGATTTCGGAGGATCGTGGGAAGATCACTTGCCATTGATAGAGTTTGCGTATAATAATAGTTATCATTCCAGTATCCAAGCGGCACCGTATGAAGTATTGTATGGACGTAAATGTTGAACGCCGTTATGTTGGAATGAAGTGGGTGAAAAACAACTGACAGGTCCTGAAATTGTTCAAGAAACTTCTGAAAAGATTGAACAAATCCGTGAAAGAATAAAAACAGCACAAGATCGCCAGAAAAGTTATGCAAATAATCGTCGAAAGCCAATTGAGTTTGGTATAGGTGATTTTGTGATGTTAAAAGTTTCGCCATGGAAGGGTGTCATCAGATTTGGAAAGAAAGAAAAGCTCAGTTCAAGATATGTAGGGCCATTCAGAATATGAAAGCGAATTGGGCCAGTAGCATATCAGTTAGAGCTGCCAGAAGAACTGAATCTGATTCACAACACTTTTCATGTGTCGAATTTACGGAAATGTTTGGTTGATCCGAGTATAGCTGTACCGTTACCAGAAATCCAATTAGATAGTAAGTTGAATTTTGTGAAAACACCGGAAGGTGTAATCGACAGAAAGATCAGGATGTTGAGAAACAGAGAAATAAGTCTGGTGAAAATTCAGTGGAAGTTTCACAAAGGACCAGAAGCAACATGGGAATTGGAGTCAAAGATGAGATCAAAATATCCATTGCTTTTTAATTAAAGGAATTCCGGGACGGAATTCTTTTGAGGGGTGGATAATGTGATAACCGGGTCCTGATTATCACCCAAGGTAATTAATATGTGATTATCTGATTAAATGATTACGTGATAACATGATAAATTGTTATATTTGATCATGCTGGTATGTGAAAATGTGCATAGTATGAAATATGCATATGTTATATATATATATATATATATATATATATAATATGTATGCATGCATGTGTATGTGTGCATGTGTGCATAAGTGTATAATAGAGTGTGAATAAGAAAAAAGGGCTATTAGCCGACTTTCTTGATTTGGAAAGTATAAAAAGGGAGGTTGAGCCTCCATATTTTTCTCTTCTTACTTTGGCAAAGTTGTGCGATTTAAAAAGAGAAAAGAGTTGACCGGATATCTTGTATGGAGATTCAAGATTTAATTTCAAGGGTTTGGTTTCAAAAGCTTGATAATGTGAGTAGTTT